AGCATGTTTGATAACGGTAGAAGCACCTAGCTTCTTCGTAAGTGTAAACACACATTGGCACTTTCCTTGTCCAAGCATAGATAAGTATGTAGACGTACCTAGCCTCTCTGTGATGTCAAACATGCTTGGACACATCTGAACCAAGGTTGGATAGCTTGTTCAGTGTTAAGGCTCTTTTTAGATCAGACTTGAAAGTTAACAAGTATTTTTATCCACTCAAGAGTAGACTCAATAAAATTCAAGCATGGATTGCTACTTAGGCACACTTCAAATTGATACTTAGGATCAATCAAATGTGGTTATAAATATCACTCAAGCATGAATTAGATCACATAAGCATTTTCAGGACACTTCTCATACTAACTTACTGAACAAGTATAAACAAAAACTTGTCCTTGTTTAGATGAGCACAAAGTGCTAATTGATTCATCAATCAAGAATGGATAAAAACTTGTCCTTGCTTAGATGAGCACATAATACTGTGTCTAACATTTGTAGTTCTAATTCAAGCAAGGTCTAGTTATGATTCAAGTTTGAATGAGATCTACTAAGTTCTATATGTACAAGGAATGACCAAATAAGTGTGGGATAATTACAATCCAAGCATGAATGAAGCAATGTGATGAATTATGATTCCAAAGCTTGAACCAACAATTGTCAAACAAGCTTAGGTTGCTTCTTCTCCAAACTTGGATAAGACATTTAAGCCTAAAAGACTTATGAGCCTATAACTTTCTAAATGATGCATTGTTACCATATTTAATTATTTATTTTAGCTCTCCATAGTTGTCACAATGATATCTAAGAAAAGAATAAATAAAGTAAACCTATCATACCAAATCTACTCTAATCTTCATTCTTAAGTGTACATGCATGTGATAACTTTTAGTCTTCTTCTTCCTCATGCTCACTTATCTTTGAGTGTATGCATTCTTATGATGATTCCCATAATAGCTTTTTATGCTCACTCTTCCTTCTTGAGGTTTTATGCCTTGATTCATGATATTATATTTCTGCACAAGTAATAAACACCTTCCTCTTGGTTTTGTTATTAGCAAAATACATGGTTCAACAAATTATTTATTTATAGAAAATATTTTATTTATGCATATTTATATATATAATAGCATGCATGTAGTGATATTATATGATTTTATAAAGTTTTATCGAGTAGGACTATTGTTACTATGATATTTCTTAAAAACTCTGTGTGTGTGTGTGTGTGTGTGTGTGTGTGTGTGTGTTTGATGAATGATGTTGTTATATATAAGTTTCAAAAAATGATACCATGATTACATGCATATTGGGAGGTTATTTGTTTTCATGAGTTTCCATGATTATGATCACAGGATCTACCATCGTCTTACGCATGGTGATTGGCCATTCTTAGGACCCTTCGTATCTCACATGGAGAGAGCTATAGGTTCAATCCAAGGAGTAATAACTTTTGCATACATGTATGCATAATTTTATATTTATAGATGTTGAATTAAATTTATTTGTGAAATTGGTCCACTCAATAAAGTTTAACCTGCCTAGTATATTTTATAAATATCTTATGGTTACTAGAACTTTGAATCTCATTATGTAATTACAATTATTTTCATGTGAGTGTATAGCGAAGCAAAGGTGAATCACCTAAAAGCTTGAGGCTTAGCTTAAGTAAGCCTTAAGCCCCATTTTAGTTTACAGAATAACGCTGCCTGCTAGTTTAGGATTCATGCTTATTATTGAACTTTCTTTTATATGTTTAATTTTTGTGTCATTGATTTGGAAATAATCATTATAAAATTGATTTCATCCATAGTTGTGGTATTATTGAATAAAATATATTACTAAAATTTTCTTATAAATCTATCAATTTAGCCGGAATACATTCCTAGAAAAGTTTGTGACAATTTTGTTGGTTTGTACTCTTTTCAAATTATAAGGCAATTTAAGATAAGATTGCATATACTAATAAAATATAATAATAACACTATAAATTTTCTTTTTATAGAGGAAAACTATAAATTTTTAAAAATGCCCTTATACAATTAATTATTATGCTACAATATAATTTCAATTCTCTCCACTTAAAGAGTAATATTGTAAAATTATCATTAATAAAACCTTAGTTTTCTCAAATTATTTTATATTTTGAGATAAAAAATTCCTTTAACTTTATCTTATAATTTGAGACAAATGGAGTAAATTATAAATCTTGTCTTGCTATAGTACTTGTATTGCTTTTAGCAGTAGAGTATCAAATTATTTATTAATAAAATATTAATATATTATATTTAACAGATGATTCAAAAATTATAACATTGTCATTGAAAATGATGCAATTAATTTGTTTACCGTGTTTGTATTGACTCACTTCTATATTTGCTAAAGATTGACGTATAACACGTAACTTAATATCTGAATTTTTAAACTGGCCTGGTTACAAAAACAGTTTTAGGTGAATAAATTATAGGGATAATGAATTATAATTATTATATTACTGAAGGTATATGCCTGATAATTGATTAATTAAATTATTGAATAATAGTAACACAAACATTGTCAGATGTATGTATAAAATAATAAAATGAGAATCGATAACAAAATAATATATCTAATGGTTTAAGTGATCCCAATGATTATCATAAATGGTTTGCAAATCTATTTTTTAAAAAATATTTTTTAGCAAACAAACATTTGTTTTTCTTACCACTTGTTTGGATGAGAAACTAAGAAGGAAAAATAAAGGAGAAAAGTTTGGATGAGGAGAAAAAAATAAAATAAAAGTTATGAGAAAAATAACGGGCATTTTGAGATAACTACACATAACCTCTCCCACCCATCAAAGTTTAGAATTAATATCTCTTAACATTTTCTTTTTAACTCACAGACTACCATATTATTATTTTTTAATTATTTTACTAACAAAAATTGACATGTTATATTATGAAAACACATATAGTAGCTTACATGGCATCGATGTAAGCTAATAATAATGCAAAAAATATTGATAAAATTTTTATAAAGCTATTATTAATTTACATTAGGTGTCACATAATTTGTTACATGCCTTTTCTTAATATGTCATGATAGTTTCTGCTAGTTAGATGATTAAGAAATAACAATAGGGGACTTTGTGGTAAAAAAAATTAGAGAGATTAATTTTAAACTTTTAAAGTGATAAAATCTATGTAACTATCTTAAAATTTAGATAAATTTTTTAAAATTAGAGTAATTTTATTTCAACTAATGAAAATATTTTAGAAAGAAAATGTTTAAGCAAGTGATATTTTAGTTAACCTGTTCACTGAAAACAATCATTTAATACTTTAAAATTATGATTTACTTTTAGAAGTATGATGATAATTTCATTAAAAAATTAATATTAGAAAAGTATCTAAAAAATTTAAAATAATTATCATATTTTATAATTTTTTTAATATTTTGATGAGATTTATCATCTACATTAAGGGTTAAAAATAATTTTTATTTCTCAAATTGATCTAAAGGATCCTAAATTCAATGAGAAGAGGGCAGTTGATGCCATCATACTAAGGGCATGGATGAAATGAATTTATAATATTGTAGGATAAAATTGACTCATCATTTAATTTAGAGTGTAAAATTAAAGGATAAAAATAAATACTTATTATCTTCATTAAAAAATATAAAATATTTTTAATCGAATCTCACCATTTTATAAAGTAGTTATTTACTTTTAAATTAATTTTATCTTTTTATATTTATTCCTATTAAACATCCTATAATAAATATAAAGTCATTATCAATAGGGATACTTTAAAAAAAAATAATGGTTATACTTTAAAAGTTAAAAATGTTTAATATTTTTGAACACTAAACTTTAAAAAATATTTTATATTTTTAAATAGAGGAAATATTTTTAATACCTTAATCCGAAACCGCCATGCTCCACGATTAAAGTTGACCAAAAATTAAAAGGTCAAAAAAGGTAAAATAGAAAAAAAGAAAAAAAAGAAAAAAGAAACTTCTTTTTCTTTCAGCCTCCTCAACGCCAACCTCTGTCTTAATCATTGCATAGAATCATCATATTTTTCTGAAAATTCACATTCTGTTTTGGCATTTCCATTTGAATTTTCTATTCCATTTCGCTAACCTCTCTTTGAAGCCAAGTTTCTTCCACTTCTGGATTTTCTCTCCTCAGTGTCACCGTCATTATTTGGGTCTCTCTCCTGTGTTGTTAGTCTCTCACCTACTCGTCCGGCATTTCTATTAGTGCAGGTAGTTACCAAATCTTGGATTTCAACTCTTCTTCTAATGGTTTCATTTTTTTTTTTTTCTCTTCCCAACGGAGAGATCATTCTCTACTAGTACGTTTCTTTTTTCTTCTTCGTAAAATCTACACCATTCCAGTAGAAATCTGCAGTATTATAAGCTTTGAATCGCACTGAATTAGCAATTTCCTGCTCTTCATACTTCTGTTGGTAAGACTCGAGTTTCAGAGCACTTCGGATTTGGTGCTTTATTTGAAGTGACTGACAAAGTGTGTACAGAACTTCTGGAGAAGAGAAGATGAGATTATGGAGTTCATTGTTGTTTATCGGTCTGATTTCCACGGTGTCTTTTGTGGCTTCTGACAATGCCGTGGCCTCCAAAGAAGGTACATTTCCGCTTGGCAATCACTTCCTCTTTCAGATCTCGCCTCTTCTGTTCTGTTGACCTCTTTTCGGCTGCAATGAAAAGTTGAAGAAAGGACTAAAATAATCGATTTTTTGTTCAATATTATCTATAATGATGTGTGGTGTGATTGTGTTGCAAATATTAGTAAGTTTCTGTTTCCTTTTTGAACGTGGAAGCTTCGAGATCATGTATTGCTTTTTCCACTCACATTTCCGAGATCGCAGTTCTGCTTTTTCACTCACATTCTCCTTTTATCTTCCAGTATTTGCATTGCTATTTTTTTTCCCCCGAGAGAGAGATAGGTGGATGTTTTTCTCCCCTTTTGGGGATTTGTCGAGATAATTTGGCTGATTGTAATTGTGTCTGCACAGTTTGGCGCTCAATGCTTTCAAAGAAGCTATTTATGAAGATCCATTTCAAGTTCTGTCCAATTGGAATACAATGGATTCAAATCCTTGTGACTGGAATGGCGTTTCCTGCAATCCGGTTGGAGACCATGTTGTTAAGCTGTTAGATAACACGCCTCTATCTACTGCAGATTTACCGACATTTTTTTTTCTAAGTTGCCACATTCGCAATGCTAAATTATTGGATTTGGAATACTTGTTTGCAGAAACATTTCGAGATCATCATTAAAGGGGTTTCTAGCACCAGAATTGGGACGAATCACGTACTTGGAAGAATTGTATGTTCTTTGTTTCTCTGATTCACGTTCATCCAGAAACCCTGCCTAGTCTGTGCTATATAATTCTGGAATATAATGTAATGTATGCAGGATTTTGCATGGCAATAAACTGATTGGAACAATACCTAAAGAGTTGGGGATGTTGAAATCTCTTAAGGTCCTGGATTTGGGGATGAATCGTCTATTAGGACCAATTCCTCCAGAGATTGGAACTTCAACCCAATTAATGAAAATGTAAGAAGAAACTTATTTGCTCTTCTGGGATACTGGAATTTTTTACACTTAGTCTTATCACTCACTTTCATATCATGGGTCTTCTGTTTACTTTTAGAAATTTGCAGTCCAACGGGTTGACTGGTAGACTGCCCCCAGATCTTGGAAATTTGAAATACCTTCAAGAACTGAGGCTGGATAGGAATAAGCTTCAAGGACCTGTTCCTGCTGACAGCAGTTCCGATTTTCCTTCAAATATGCGTGGCATGTGAGTATAATTTTGTTTTTCGGTGTATGCTATAGATTGTAGGCGTCTCTTATGTCTGTTGTAGATTGCCACGGTCAGATGAGCTAGCATTGATTTGATTTAGGTCATCAAGCAGCTGGTAGAATACAGGCGGAAGTTTTTATTTTCTTCAATTTTCACATATATGTTATGTTTAGGAAGCTTCAACCCTCATCCTTTATGCTTTCTGAGAGGTAAATGATTTAGGTTTTTTTGCATTTAATATGGAGTTGGTTGTTTTTTTAATAATGATGGAAACCGTTATGTCATCTTGTTAGTGCTTAGGCCATTCAACAGGTATAAAAATTATAGCAGATAGCCATAAATTATAATCAGACTTCAGTCAAGTTTGTTTTATGGTTTAGTTTAAAATTTTTCTTGCGATAAATTATATCAAACTCACTATTAAGTATGAGATGCCAAGTTACACAATTTAATGTTTAAATTTTCTTAATCTGTCTTATAATTGCCATTATTTCTTCAGGTATGCATCAAATGCGAATTTAACTGGTTTCTGTCGTTCGTCTAAGTTAAAAGTTGCAGATTTTTCCTATAACTTCTTTGTTGGTAGCATCCCAAAATGCTTGGAATATCTTCCAAGGTATTTTTCTACTTCCTGAGTCAAATGAGTAGTTTGCTCGGTCTCCATGTTTAGAAAAACATATACACTTTCACACAGGTCCAGCTTTCAAGGGAATTGCCTCCAGATCAAAGATTCAAGGCAACGCCCTTCTATGCAATGTGGTATGTTTGACTTGACTTTCCAAGTATTTAAGATCTGAGGAAGGGATTTGGATAGAGAGAAAATATGCTCCGTCTTGACCTCCAAGTGAAGTGGCTTTTCTTTTTATATTGTTGTTTTGAAACACAATCAGGTGTTGAGGATGGATCTTTGTTGTAATCACTAATTACAAACTTAATGCGAATATTCTGAAAACGTTCACTCCTCGCATCTGTTAGTGCATTTATAATTGTTCATTATGGCTAATAGTATGCTTTTTATTTCATAGCTGGTGCTTCACCTGCCAGGGGCCACCCCGTGATCAACCGAAAGCACCGATCAGCTGATTATTTATCCAAGCGTCAAGGAGCACCAAAACCGGCTTGGCTTTTGGCTCTAGAAATAGTGACAGGGACCACGGTTGGTTCTCTCTTTTTAGTTGCTGTCCTAACTGCTCTTCAAAGGTTTAACAGCAAATCATCTATCATTATTCCTTGGAAGAAATCTGCAAGTGAGAAGGAGCAGCGTATGACAGTATATATAGGTTATTTCTCTTGCTTTCTACTGCCTCTTCCTTTTCTTCTTCCAAAAGGGTTTTCTACATTATTGTTATTAACCTTTTATCAATGTGAAGACTCTGAGATGTTGAAAGATGTAAGGAAGTATAGCAGACAAGAGCTCGAAGTGGCTTGCGAAGATTTCAGCAACATCATTGGGTCCTCGCCTGACAGTGTGGTATACAAGGGCACCATGAATGGTGGGCCTGAAATTGCCGTAATTTCCCTCTGCATTAAGGAAGAAATTGGACAGGATACCTCGAGCTCTATTTTCAGCGGGAGGTAAATGGAAGCCTATGGCATGCAAGAACTTACACAAAAAATAACTACAATTTAAACCAGTACTTCATTTAATGCCATTCAGGTGGCAGACTTGGCGAGGCTAAATCATGAGAATATAGGAAAACTACTAGGATATTGTAGACAGAGCACTCCATTTACAAGGATGCTGGTTTTTGAATATGCTTCAAATGGGACGCTTTCTGAGCACATACATTGTAAGTTAAATTTCTTAAATCGTCTATCTTCTATCCGTTTTATTTGCTTGACTTTTGCAGTTGTGGCTTGTGAGTGCAGATGGAGAAGGATGCCAGTTATCATGGACAAGGCGTATGAATATTGCCATTGGTATTGCACGAGGTCTCAAATATCTGCACTCAGAAGTTGAGCCTCCATTTACTATACCGGAGCTTAATTCTGGTTCTGTATACCTAACAGAAGATTTTGCCCCAAAGGTATGTTTGTGCAGTTTAATTCAAGTGTTCTAGTCTAGCATTTATGGATATGCTCAATGTCTTTTCGCAGTTAAAAATGATAATTTTGATATCTACCAATGTTTGTGGTGAAGATAAGTTTTTTTTTTTTTTTTGGGACGGAAATCAAAGCTAAGGTTTTGTTAGGTTTAATTTGGATCGATTTTGGCCAAAGATTAAAACAAACTCAACCACTTTGCGTGGAGAAAATCTGGACCCATTTGGTTTTGGTTTGGTTCTTATTAAAAGTTGTTTTTCGTTAAGAAAAATTCTAGTTGTTGATAAAAAATTTTATTGCTTAAAAAATAATTGTATTCGAAAAAATAAACGTTATTATCGAACTTCGAAGAATTCTAGATGACTCTCATCTTTGTTTTAAGTGGTTACAGGTAAGTAATTTTTCTTTGGAGTTAGAAGTAATTCAACAATAATTTGAAGCTGAATTAAGCGATTTTTTTTAAATTATATTATATGATAAACAAATACCACATGAATAAATAAACCTGTAAAACTTCGTTAGTAACTTATATTGTGTGGACTGTTAATTCCGGGCCAAAAAAAAAAAAAAAAATCATAGAATCCCGAGTCCTAAATGTTGAGACCCAGAAACTTGTTTGAGATTCTCATTGCAAAGAACATTAAACTGCAGCTGGTTGATTTTGAAAGCTGGAAGACAATTTTGGAAAGATCAGAAAGGAATTCTGGTTCTGTTAGCAGCCAAGGTGCCGTTCGTGTTTTACGAAATTCCATCGAGGCACGCCATCTTGATACCCAAGGAAACATATATGCTTTTGGGGTGCTCCTACTTGAGATAATCAGCGCAAGATCTCCCAATTGCAAGGACAAGAGTTACTTGGTGGCCTGGGTATGAAACTATCAAATTTTCTTCAATGTCTACAATTCTAACTTTCTTTTTCAAACAACCTTGGAAGTGTTTACTGTTATTGAATTCTTGTCCTTTATTTTTTCCCAGGCGAAGGACTATCTTGAAAATCCAGAAGAAATGCCATCTTTGGTGGATCCGGAACTGAAACATTTTAGGGACGAAGACCTTAAAGTGATATGTGAGGTAATAAATCTCTGTATCAATTCTGACCCCGCAAGGCGTCCAGGGATGCAAGAGTTGTGTAGTATTCTGGAGAGAAGAATCGACACATCCATAACTTCGGAGCTCAAGGCATCATCTTTGGCTTGGGCCGAACTTGCACTCTCATCTTGAATCACTCAATCAAAACTAACATACTCCAAAGCAGAGGCATACATAAGTATTTACTTTTCTGACTAATTTCTCTTCCTTATTTACTTGTAAATGATTGCTCAAAAAGGCAACGTAGAGGATAAAATCTCATAGCACTGGGAGATGATTAGAAACGAAGAAATTGGGAAAAGGGGATGACTGTGCTGGACAACGATTTCCCGTATTGGTTCACATCGAGCGTTTGTTATTTGTATTGGGCAATTTATTAAATAGCGAGGGTTCGACCTGCAATTTCCCTGTTCTTTCCAATTTCAAGTGAGCTGCGATTAAAGGGGAGTCCAATGCTATATTTGTAAACTAGATGTGCGGAGGTCGAGATGAGTAGTATATAGTGCATGTGATTTGTAAAAGGTGCCGCTACCGCTATTGATGATATTGTATATTGATTGATGATATTGATGATTATTTGTTAGATGTAATTCTTCTATTTAAAAATATAAATATTTTTAACTAAATATCTTCTAATAAAATAGTTAATAAATCATTTATTAATAGGGATTTTTGAAAAAAAAAATAATTATACCTCAAAAGATTAAAAATATTTTACATTTTTTAACATTTAATTCTTTAAAATATGTCTTCTATTTTTTGATGGAGGGAGTATGTATCTTATAATGAGATCATGAATGTCTTTGAGAAAATGGTATCATGCTTCACATGTTCTTTTGCAGGTTACAATTATTTGTATGGATGTATGCAATATTATGTATGAATGGATGCCTTAACCATCACTCTTCTTTGGTTAAAGGGAAAATTAATTAGCCCTTAAATTATAGGGAGAATTTTATTATAGGACCCTAGGTATAACTTAATTACAAGTAAGGCTCAATAAATTCTAACAATTCATTGGGGGCTTATTGGACTTAAATGAAATAAACTTTATTTATTAAATGACCAATTCATCCTTAGTTAAATATTTAGAAAACAGAGAGGTAGGCTTAGGTTTTTGGTTTAGACGAAGGGAAAGATAGTAATTATCGCATTACTCATTGATTTGTCATCCTTATATCCTATCTCCATCACTCTAATGGCCCTCTCAAGCTTCCTTGCTCTGTTGATGATTTCCTCCACCTCTAATGGCAAATCAAGAAAGAACCCAGCCATCGCTACTGCCACCACCAACATAACCACCATTGTTGTCCTCTCACTTTGTTCTTTCACTGTTGGTCTCTCAAAATAGTACTCTCTTGGACTTAAAAAGAGTACATGCTTTTCTAGTTTCTATTTGATTGGATCAAAGCAACATGCTTCTCTCTTGATTCTGGTTAATTTAAGAGGATGAAGTTTTTTGATTAGACTACTTCATAATCCATATTCTGCTAGAAATTTGAAAAGATCAAAGCTATGGCAATCCATATGCATTGTACATGAATTTAACTATATTTACTTTTGTTTTCTTTTAGGACAGTGTTAGAAGAATATAAGAGATGTGTTGGGTTATCTACTTTTGGTGGATCAGGCTTAAACATGAGCCCAAATATAGAATACAACCTTGTTATAATATTGAGAAAATTTGGGTCTCAATCTTGTAATTCGTAATGGGTTCTTATTTGAAAAAGAGAGGGAACAGTTATTTAGGCATATATGAGGGTCCAGTGTGTGATAAGTGTGCACTCTACATTCTCTTTAGAACTAAACTCTCTCCCTTATTTCTCTCTTCAATTCCTCTATGCGTTTGCTATGTGAACTTGAACTAAGTTCGGTAGCATAACTCCATTTTACAGGGTAAACATGGAAGAAAAAAATATTAATGGCCAAAGGAATGATTTACAGGATTAATGACAAAGAAAAGAAGAACCTAAAGCAACACAAGTATAAGTATTGATTCAATAAGCTCTTAAGAGCTTAGGCAATTTAGTCAAACAACACCTAAAGTGCCCATTCTCCAGTTCACTTGTGGCACTTAGATGCTTTGTACAAGTTTTAATCAAGTATGGAGCAATCTATAAAAGCCACATGAACTTTCAAGTAACTTTCAATTTAAGCTTACTAAACTATAGACCTAGATTGAATTATGTCCAAGTTCATTGGCAATTTCCTATTAACCACATTTAGTGCAACCTTTTAGATATTTTCATGGTTTTTATCACTTGAAACCAATTGTAACATCTTAAAGTTTTAATTCAAGAAACTAATTTCTAATTAGGAGTAAATTAGTAATTAATAGATTAAGTGTGGTTTTGGATGGCAAATTAGTGTTTTGACTGGTTGGGTTGTTGAATTGTTAAGATCAATTGGTGAAACAGAGGTTTAGAGTAAAGCATATGAGCAGCAATGAGACTTTGCTCACTATGCCACATGCTGATACATGTGCTACATGCGATGACACAAGATTTAGATAAATATGATGTGGATTAGTTTGTGAGGTAGAGAGGAATAAGGGAAAAAGATGCATGAGAGAGGAGGAAGGGTGTCCTTACTAGGGTATGCTATTTTTGAGTACTAAAAGATATTCCCTACCTATTACCTATCAAGTAAGTTTTCTACTACCTTATGCTCTTATGCTATCTTAACTTTTTTAGGGTTTTGATATAGAGAAATTGAATTGGAGAGCTTTAAGGGGTTATATTCTGAATAAAAGTTATGAAAAGGACTTTTGGGTGTGAAACTAAGATTTTGCGATTGGATTGAGGTTTAATGGTTAAGTCTTAGAGCTATAGGCTCAATTAGACCCAAATTAAGAGGTTTTAAAGGGTGGAAGTGTTGGTATAAAGAATTGAGAAGTGGTTTGGTCCTATTGACAGCCTATGAGTGTGTGATTATGCTTGATATGCTGAGGTGAGTCTAAAAAGTGTAAGTGAGATGAGTATGTGTGTTAAGTAATGTGACTTAGCTAGATTTACTATTTTGCTTTAAGTTTGGAAAATTAACCAAGGACACTCATTTATATAGATTGAGTATGTAGGAGATTACTTGTGAAAGTCTATAGATTACAAGTGATTTGGTGCAAATGGTAACCCTTAGGAAAAATGGTGTGAAGTAACTAGATAAACTCTTTTACTTATTAATTTATAAAATTATGTACAAGGTAATTGTGTAAATTAGTTTTATTAATATTTTGAAAATGGATAGAGTAGTTTTATTGTATTAAGTAATGCACATGAAAAATAGCACATGAGTTATTGTGTAAAAGTGATTCTTGTAATATATGTGAGAAGTGTGTGATAGTGATGCCTGAGCGCATGTGTTGTGTGCGTGTGTCTGTATGAGAAAATGATAGCTTAGTCTAAGGTAGAGGCTTGTGGCCCTGTTTTGTGTAAGATTAGGAAGTTCTAGTCTAAAGTGTTGTGATCCACTAATGGGATTCAAGAGTGCATGAGCATTCATATGTGATTAGAGGTGGGAGTTCACCTTTTGGAGTTGTGTAGACCATGGTCTTGGCGTATGTGATGCCTATGCCTTGTGAACCATAGCCGATAGACATGGTTGGGCTACTCCCTGTCACTATGTGAGTGATTGGTAGCGAGAGCATTTGACTTCCCACTAATTGGTTAAGGGGAATTCATAGTCCAAGGGTGATAAAGAAGTATTGGCCTTACATCTTTCATTGTTGTTGAGCTTAGACTAACCAGAGAGGTCTTGTGTATGTGTATATATATATATATATATATTTATAACCCACACCATAGGTGGCTTCGGTGATTGGTTTTTAAGGGTTAAGTCTTCTTGAATCCTGCCCTGGACTAGTTATAAGCATAGGTACCCAAACCCATTGTCCTTTTATATCACCCTGGACTGGGTGTGGCACTGGACATTGCAATACCCTAATAGATTTGAGAATTGGGGGAATCTGTGTTCTGAGATTGAGTGAGGCATCTTTGGCTGGGTGTCTTCTCATGATTGGTGAACTTGGGATAGTTCATTGACATGATATATTATCAGCCTATGGCATCCATTCCATAATATATGGAGGAGATAAGGAGTTGATGTTCATGTATTAGATTTTATCATAGGATGTGATACATAAATGTTGTGGTAATATGCTTTATGCTATGATGTATTTTATATAAATGCCCACTTTGCATGCCTTTATTGATTTGACTTGCATGAATGTGATTTAAAGATTTTCTTGGTTAATAAGTAATTTATACTTACCCCTATTTACTATTTTACAAGCACTAGCTTTGGTAAAGAAAAGGGAAAGACTTTTGAGGCTTAAGAGTTCCAATTCCTACTATATAGCCTCTATCTTTTGGATATTTTATTATGCGTTATTATTATGAGGATTTGTTTTCAAATAGGACAATTATTTTTGGTTTACTTACACCATTACATGTTAATTGTGGTGATCATTTTGTATTCAATGCCCTAGCCTATTGTTATGTGTTAAAATGCTATTTGAGGCCTAAATACTAGTGCAAGCAGGTTTAGAATTGATTAATATTACTTTTCTTAATTGTAAATTTGTTAAATTATGAAGTTATGTTATATTGACTTCCCTTGTGATTTTTTGTTAAAATAGGGGTTGAGGAGTAGAAATGCTATGCATGTGGTATAGCTATGTGTTTAGGCTATGTATTGTATTAGTAGTCCTAAGTCTTGGGGACTTAGTCTAGGTGGGTGTTTAGGCTTTTGTCACTTGGTGTGGATTTTGAACACCTTAAAGTGGTGTAAGTGTGAAAAAGAAATGGTTGTTTTTTTAGTTTTAGTGTCCAATTTTTTTACTGAGATGAAATTTTGTTATGAAACTAGTGTCACCAGCTTGTTTACTATCTAAGATTTTTGGGGACACCTAAGTTACTTTAATCAAACATTTGATGGATGCTCAAGGTGCACCAAAAGTTTGCCCCTCGATGCTATGTTATGACAGCAAAAGTGTTGTAAATGCTATGCAATGCACCATGGTAGATGGTGATTTTACTGCAGCACACAATGTAAATTCCCTTGAGGAATCCATAGCCTTTACTTACACATAACACCACAACACTGGAATAACAATCACATTACTTTGAAAGAAGTTTTAAAAATTGAAGATCTAGTCTTTTAGTTAAAAACACATAAATATAAGTTTAATGAAGGCATATCAGAAAGTCTAAATTTCATTCCTTTAAAAAGAAACAAGCAATCATTTTTCATCAAGAAGGGTCATGTGCCATGGCTTGTAACACATATGCCATGACATGTGATACAAAGCTACTAGGTCATGCTTTGTGACATGCGTTGTTTCATGCACACCATGCGCTGAGGTGCACATGTTAAATTTTGCTGCCATGATAACAGTTCTGCTATGAACTTCTAATGTGCATCATTTCTTCATGTGACATTCGATCATAGTGGTTCAAGTAGCCATATAAAGCTTAAGAAACAAGCTAACTAATGAAAAAGTTTGGACACGATCTAACGGTGCAAACTTAATTTGAATACTCAAGTGTAAAAAGGTACTTTTCTTTAAAAATTAATCACCCAAAGTGTTC